AGAAGACTGGCGGTTCAAACCCACCAGCCACTCCTCAGAAGGAAGGTTGGGCAATCTACTTCTGTAGTGATACTGCCTCAGAAACCCAAGGAGGACTCACTATGAGTTGGATCTGACTCAACAGCAGTGAGGTCTACCTATGTAACCATTAATAAATTATTATTTGTTAATATTCTTATTGCAAGGATATCGATATTATAGTACCTACTGTAGTTGCCCTTTATTTTTATGTTCCTCTCAGTTTCTTCCTTTGCCTTGGTCATTGTTTTGGTTCTCTAGTACTACTTTCTGCTAGCATAGTGCCTAAGGCACTTGACTGTTAACCAGTACTCTGGCAGTTCAAACCCATCAGCCACTCCTAGGAAGGAAGGTTGGGCAATCTACTTCTGTAAGGATACCACCTTGGAAACCCAAGGAGGGGTCACAATGAGTCAGGTCTGACTTGATGGCACATAACAACAACAACAACAATAGTGCTGCTCTAACAGAAATACCACAAGTCGGTGGTTTTAACAAAAGGGATTTATTCCCTTACAGTTTAGGAGGCTGGAAGGCCAAGTTCAAAGTGCCACTCTAGGGGCTGGGTGAAAGCCCTCTTGTTCCTGGCCCACTGAAGCTAGAGGTTTCTCTTAACTCAGACAGTTGCTGGATGCTGAGGCTGACAAACCCAAGGTCAACAAATAAAGTGGTAGTCCCACAATTATCAAGCAAACACAGCAGGCCACTAATTCAAGTCCATTAACAGTCTCAAGATTGGCAGACAACATGGCAGTCCATTGGGATGAAGACTCAGCCAAATGCAATATCCAGATGTATCAAAAACTAGAGACCTAACTCAAAGCTTCTTCTTATATACTGGAAGCAGACCACATCCCTAAGGCAGCTACTCAACTGCTCACAGTAGATTGCATCATGGAGTTGATTACCAGTCTCATCATGGGATAATAACTATATCCACCTGCCTGTGGAGTTGGATCTGACTCATAGTGACCCTTCCTTGGATTTCCAAGTTGGTATCACTAAGGAAGTAGATTGCCCAATTGTCCTTCTGAGGAGTGGCTGTTGGATTTGAACCACTAGCCTTCTGGTTTAGCAGTCAAATGCCTTAGGCACTACGCCACCTGTCTAGCCACTCAAAACCAGGCCCAGCCAAGTTGACACACAACTTAACTATCACAGTCATGTTGTGCTGACTTCCCCCATATTGTATATCGCCTTTCCCTTCACCATTATTAAGTACCTTCTGTCAAGTTAATAATTTTCCCTCCTTTCCCATCTC